AGCAATTGATTCGTAATATTTTTTCAAATGATTTATTGAGGGGAAGTTTCTTTCAACAAAGCCCTGGTTTCTGTGTATGTGTTTAATTAAATTAGGGTGTACACTGTACATATATAATAGTAGTAGAATATAAAATGAGTGTGAATGAGTTTGAATTGAGTTAATACTCGAACAAAAGCACCTTGGGGGAGTTTAAATTTCATTAGGACGATTACACGTGGTAAGCCGTCGACGTGGTGAATGTTCCGCCCATCACCGTTATGCTCGGTGAATAAGACGTCCGTAAGAAAGATGATGTACAATTTGGAAATTATTCAAAGCTCCAGGAAGAACTTGCTAGTTGATGGTTTTTTTTTAAATCCTTTCACCTTTTGTTCATTATATTCGCTGGCTTGAGATTAAAATCAATGATGACGGGATGGTTATAATGAAGATTCACTGAGGAAGTACATTGATGTCGTAACTCTGGCGAATTACACGAGGGAGGGAAGATTTTATAATTTAGCAATCATAAGGAAGCGAAATTTTCAAGTGGAAAAGATTCTTCATTCATGATTTATATATATATATTTTTTTTCGTCCCGAGGATTATACCCTTTTTGTTCAATTGCTTGGTGAAATTGTAAAACTTAAAAACCAACTGAGTGCCATAATCTATTTTCACTTTCACACAATACAAATGCCGGGAAAATTTCTCACATGTTCATTATCGTTTGTTGTTCGTCCCGACGATAAATCAAACTAGAATTTCTCACAAAACTATTCACACCATAACCCATTGCCTAACAGTTTTTGTTATACACCGCGAGAACCGAACTATGTAACTGGCAAATTACAAGGTCGTTTGTCTTTTTTATTGGGCAATGATGACATGAAACTAGGGCGTAAATAATTGCAAATATTTCGTATGTAAATTTGTACCAGACTAATTTTATTAAACAAATTGCCATTAATTCGCTCTCCTGCAATTTAGCAAGAAAAAGCAACGAATGAATGCAATTAAAAGTTATAGTGATAGGTATTATGTTCATTGAACTGTGGAAGCAATGGCTGCCGGTTTCATGCCTGCTAGTTATATCAATTTATACGGAATCGAAAATGCCAATATATTTTACAGGACAGCCATGCGCGTAATATTACAGCCTGCATGTACATAAAATGGCTTTGGCATCCACATCCCTCAGACCCCTACGAAAATCGATGACGAAACGTTAAGGTCGATGATGGCTGGGTTTAAACATTTTCCATGTGGATGCAACAAGATAGCTATATGAAAACCTGTGAAAATTTTATGCACAGGGAAACAAAACTGCCCACAGTCTGTTAGGTTTATGACCTAAAAGTCCTGGTATGCCGAGAGTTGCCCAAGTCACGTTTTATTTAACTCTCTCGCTCTCTAGGAATTTTCGACAAAACCCGGGGGTTTATTTGCACTAGTGCATGCATGTGAGTACGTTAATCCGCTTGTACTGGTAAATGCTGTTTCACTTTAAACTCCAAGTTCGTTAGACAGAAGTGACTGATTACCAGAGGTATATGTTGGCACTAGAGTAATCTTCACTAGTTTAATATTTTTAATTTTACTTAGCTATATTCATATTAAATGATGAAAAAGGGTGGAGAAAATTCAATGGCCCCCTTCTTTTTCAATTGCACAGCGAATTTGCTCTTTCTGGTAATAGTTGGCAATAGTCACGTGTCCGCGCATTTTATATACGTCAACCAGTTCGTGCGTTATCTCCACAATTCCCAAACGTTCACATCCACGTTTACTATCCTCTCAACCACTAAAAAGTATTTCATATTTCCTTAGGAAAATTATTTGAAAATATAAAAAGTTTTTGTGCATAATTTCGTATGCGGAAAATTCATTGCTTGATTCTAAATGGGAGTGTAATGTGTAGATTATTGAAGAGGAATCAAATTATTCGCCAACTTTTTTTGTCACTCTCAAACGCTTCCGATTTAGCTATCGACTATTGAGGTAGTTTTTACAGGGGCTCAGGCGAGATAAAATCACTAAGTATTTGGGTGTCCTGTGTAGTATGGTGGTAGATTCGTTGAAATGTACAAAAAGGGTCTCTCTCTCTCGATGTAACTAGGATAATGCATAGTGAAACGAGTACTCTATATGTAGCGGAGAATTATCTTCAGAACCTCCATGGGTTTTTCATCATCCTTCGTTAAGCTTTTTCCCTTTGTTCTCGCTCAACTCTCTTGACTGTTGTGGCAAGTGAAAATTCTCGACGCAGACCACCTTGCACCCCACAAAGCAACTATTCTAATTTTATTATTTCTATGGACAGAGCGAACCTTACTTATATTTTCCGTTCATTCCGTTTGGGGCGATATGTATATTTTATATTTATTCAATCCCAAGCTTATAATGCGAAAAATCTTTCATCAACCCATTGCAATATATACTTCTCGTTGTTTGTCGGTAGGACGGCACACGTAATGCAGTTTTCACAGAGCACGTAATAAGCCCTGGGGATTTTCTCTCTATATACCGTGGCTGAGAGCAGTTCCTCGACACTGTCGAATTTCACGATCCGTTTCGTTCCACATCACGCACGAGATGGCTTTACCTCAATTTTTGCGCTCGACCTTTTCCAATATTTGTCAATACAACTCGCCCAATATTTTCTCCCTATATTTCCATTGAGCAAATTGGAAAATACAACATACTATTCTGCAGAGTAAAAATTCAATAATTTAATCTTAAAAGAATAATGAAGGCTCAATCGTTTCATTGAAATTCAAAGGTAACACGAATATTTTAATTGGTCCCTGGGTTATCAGCACTCCAAGAGCGTCTCATTAGTTCTCGGCTAGCCACGAGGGAGGGACTTGGAGGAGGTTGGGGTAGATCGCAATCATTACACCATGCTGATTGTAGCCGCGGAATTAATCAACTCGCTTGGGGTATCGAAGCAAATTGCTTGGGAAATTAACACTGTCCAACTAGTGTTAAAAAATACATCTCTCTCAGTGCTCTATGTACATTGAAGATGGCATTAAATACTACCTTTATTGATTATTCCTCGGTAATTTGGATATTACTATTAATTTCGTTTGATTGAATTATTTTTGATGAAGATTCAATCAATTTAATTTTAATGGTAAAAAAAAGGGTGGATACTTCCCTCAAAAGCATAATTCATTTGCTGAAAGCATTCCCAACGCCCTCAAAAAAGAGGGAACATCATCTTTTGTTTTCCAAATTGTTTTGAAAAAATTTAGAGAGAAAAGAGCATCTCTTACTCCTATTGTGGATTTTTTAACAAGAAATAAAGAGAGGAGTAGGTCAAGGCTTTTTCATTGAAAGGTAGAGAGAACTTTTACTCGTGTTGATGTCACTTCTTCCAATATAGTCCAAAAACTTTCAGTGAGGAAGCTGCCACGAACAGTTGTGACTTCAATTATCGTTGTCACTGACTATGTTGAGGGATTTAGTCATTAAGTTAAAATTAATTATTTTTTACTTATTTTATGCGTCACGTTTTTAGCGAAATGCATTTTCCATGAAAGATTAACGGATATTACATTTATGTACAACGCTCGGGTGCTTCCTGTCACGTCAACATTTTACCGATATTCCACCATAATAGAAGTGAATGACACTAGTGACTAGTCAGCGAGGAGCAGGGAGGACCAGGGGGGTGTCTTTTGATGCAAAAAAATGTCTTGTTAATGAGTTTCTCAGATGGTCTCCGTGCATTGCTAATGGAACTTGAGAGGGTAGCTCTGCTTTTTCAAGAAGGTAGGGACGGATAAAGAGCATTATTGCATTTGAGATTAAAAATTTTCCGCATTATTCAACACTAGATATTTTAGTCGTTTTTTTTTTATTTTTCCTTATATGGTAATATAAGGTAATTGAGAGTGATATTTTGCGCCGGGAAAAAGGTCTCTGAGAGTTGGTATCTTTCATACACACAAGCATAAATCGGGTTTCACACTAAACTAGGAAATGTGATATGCTCATAGAAAGAAAGAAAGAAATAAAGTTACTAATAAAGTTGATGACTTGGAAGGCAGGAGAAGTATAGCAGTATTGGAGAAAAGGGGGTAAAAATACAAAAGTTTCGTAATAAAGGTAACAATAGTGGCTGAAAGCTCGTTAGTGTACTTTTCGAGGAGCTTCTAAAACTTTTATGATTACATAAAATCAACGATTAAAACTGCACTGTTTCCGACCACTTAACTTGTAAGATGTTATTTCTATTTCATTGTGAGAAACTCACTCACTGCTTTTTTTTACTCTATTACATGTCCATTGAGTTTAACTTATTGGTTCTTTGAATCGGCCCTATATTGGCAGCTTTTTATCGTGTTCAAACTTATTTTTAAAAGGAAGGAACATCAAGTATTCCGCACCTTAATAATTGAGAAAAAGTTTTAGCAACAGTTGACGGTTGAAAATAAATTGGCATTGGAAAGTTTCTAAATCAGGAGATGGAGTAAAAGTTGAATGTAGAGTGTACCAAACGAGAACCATGAAATGGTGAAAAGGGGAGAAAAGAGGACGGAGGGAAACGGAAAATAGAGTAGAATGTACTGCTTAGGGAAGTTTTGAATGCAATGAGGAAGTCAGATGGGGATAACTCGCCGGGAGGGAAATGAAAATATCGGATTTGGATGTGCACCATTCGCGGAATACGTCGAATACCGGCTCAAGAGAATAAAACCAATCTCTGGCATCGAATATTAAAGTCCAAAGTGAAAAGGGATGGGAATGGGTTAGACATTGTAAATGGACTCGTGCTGGAAATATTATGCGTATAATGACGCTTTCAGAGGTAAATAAGGTATATTTTTCCTGAGAGATTCTCCAATTGCAGTAGAACTCGATTGGAAATTGATGGCAAAGTATAATTTTGTGCTCGCTTCAATCTCATTTATTCGGAAGGAAGAGTTGATAAGAAAAAAATTACAAATTTTTCATTTTGTTCTATTTTCCATTCAACCAACAATTGGCTCTACTTTTATACTTGCAGGTTCACCACCAAGGGATGCCACCTCCTGGCTATTTGGCTGCTTGCCACCTGTGTCGGTAAGTCCAACAGTCTCACATTTTTTTCTTTTATTTTTTTTACGTAATAGGGAACACATTGTGTGCGAGTTAGTCAGAGAATTGAGTTGAGATTTCATACAACTTTTGTCATTCTTATTTTCTACTCTGTCTCAACTTTTCCCATTTTTTTAATGACGTAAAAGTACCTCATGCCTGTTCTCACATACATTAATTTTTATTATGGGTCTTCCTACGGTAGACATTTTTTCTCATTTATTTAAAAGTTTTGGTGAAAGGTTGTTTGCGGTTAATGGGTGTTTTTTAAGCGAAGAAAAATCGAGATTTTAGGGATAATGGCACAATTTTTGTTCCGTTTATTCTCTTTGGCAAATGAAGATAAGAAAATGTAATTGTGTACCGAGCCAAAGCGAAAGAGAAAGAAAAAGATAAGAGAATTGATATTAAACGTATCTCTATAGTTTTCCTCCCAAGGGTTGAAAGAGGAGGATGTGTATGTGGGAGTGGTTTGCGGATATCTTAGAAGGATAGGTTATTCACGGTCCAAGGTTTTTCCAAGGGTCCGTATGTCGCTTACACCTCCTGAAAGAGATACGAGAAGTGAGCCCATACAGACTTCCGACTAGTCCCTTTTTTCTTTCTACGCTTTGGGGAATCACTACGGAAAGAGAAAAGCCTTATTCTTTTTCGTTTTCTCCTTGCGCTTAGTTTCGAGACTTCTTCTCGGTCTCGTTGAATCTCCACCTTCTCGTTTTACATTAAGGACGAGATATTTAAGTTGCCTTTGGGGAATTCAAACGTTCAAATCTTGGTCTAACATGCCGAGTGTGAGAGAGAGAGAAAAGCTGACTAGATCTGTGCACATTCGTGTATATCCATGTTCAAGAGGTATTTCAGGTATTTCTCAATGGGAGAGACCTGAAAGGGATATTTATTCTCAATTTTTTTCTCCTTACTCCTGCTTTTGTGGCAACTCGAAATATCCTGAAATTAGCCTTTCAAAGTCAGCTCCAATTATTTATACTCTGTTCTCCGTGGAGATTTCACGCAATTCCAAGCCTTCAGAACAATGAATGTCTATTATTTTGGCAATCTGTAATAACTGATATGTTGGGGCTTGTACGTCTTGAATTTTTGACTATGGAGATAGTGGATGATTATGGAGAGAAATGGAGATGGTAAAAGTTAGCATTATTGGTGTAACGAGAGAGAGAGAGAGAGAGAGAGAAAAAAAGAGAGTATCTAGGCTCTCGGTGCATGAAAGGACTAGTACGTGCACGAGTACGAGACTGAGTGAACTCCGGTTGGCTATCGATCGCGTCTCCAAGGTGAGTCGCACGGGCGCACCAGCGCATTGTGCGTACCATCTTTTCCACGGCAGTTCACCTCCAATTTTATCCAAATCCATTAATTTTTTTAATCGGAATCTTGCATTTCAACTCTTCCATTTTCATCAAGTGTAATGAAATGAAATGAGAATAGAATGGCATCGATGGAGTAGAGAGAAATTTCAGCCAAGATTTTCAAAAGGATTGTCCCGGTCATTCGGGGCATTCGTCTTATTTGCAATGTATTGCATGTCCGTCGATACAACATCTTTCCATTTATTTTCTATCGATGTTTGAAGTTGCAAACAGAATGATTAATTGAGAGAAGCTCGCTCTTGACGTGGCAACGATCGTACAATATTTTTCCCGTCACTATTTTCTTTTTTGTTTCTCCAGTTTCTCCTTATTCTCCACTTTTCGTATATTCCTCATTTTCCTTTTTTTCAACATCCACTGGGGCTGCACTTAATTGGATTTTAACGAACAAAAAACCCGTTACTTCACCCTCTAGAGTAATTTTTTCCTTTAGGTCGTTGGTAGTTAACCGGGAGCGCGTAATTGTACAAGCAAACAGAAAGAAAGTGCAGAGTTGAGGAAGTGGAATACCATGGCATATCCACCGTACAGAAACACAAAGAAAAGATCAAAATGCTGTGGCAAGCTTCAGCTTCGTAGACAATAAAACCATTCCCTTTCATTGATTTCATCGAACGTTCATTCTATTGCAATGTTAATTTAGTAGGAATGGAATTTTCCAATGATATTTCATCAGTGTGTTTTGGTCACTAGTGACAAAAAAAAAAGTGTCAATATACGTGTTAAAATTGACGAGCGTTCGGTCACGTTTATTCATCGAGTTGACGATGTGGCACCATGAAAAGAGCCAATATTCCAGCCAACTGCACGACACTAGAGGGTTCGATTCATCGGGGAATTCAATTAGCACCGGTTGGCGGAAACCTCAAGTTATTTGCACCCGGTTCACGATTTTCCAACCACCCGCTTCTCTCCCATACCTCCTATACATGTACAACCCATCAACCATCTTATCCAGAGTGCAGTTCTTCTCCAACAAATATTCTGAGAGTAAGACTAAATTCCCTTTCGGCCCCATGGGTTGCAACCACTCTCATCCCGGAACCTCATCTTACAATTTCGGGGAACAAGAAATATTTCCATAGTCGAGATAACTTGCACGTAAACTTTGCCAATAGTCCACCAAACTTGCTAACTCTATTCATCTTTCAATTCAATTTCAATTCAATTGAATCGGTTGGTTGGTTGATCTAAATAATATTATTATTGTTATTCAATCAGTAGGAAATCTCGATAATTATTCCATAGTTGTGTCATGTTTTCATTTTGTCGGCTGGCATTCTACTTTGAAGCGATTTTTTCTTTACCACACGCTTTTGATCGAACCAAAGAGGCTTATACAAGTTGCCACATCAGCATAAATCTGAACTTGGCAAAATTTCAATTAACAAAATCTTGCTGCTACGGAAAAACACCCTAGGCTATACCTGAGGTACATTGTCGATAAAACAAACAAAAGCGCATTTCCAGTGGAAAGTGAAAAAAAGGATAAAGGTGAAAACTTTTTCTCTTTCTCTCCGCCAGAGTAGCCAAGCAATTATTTCTGATAATCGTTCTATCGTTCTATACTCTCGCGGTCTCACGTTCACCTCACCGACGATATATTTATCCGAGTATTTTTCCTCTTCAGTTCCATCCTTACTCATAACAGTACAAAGTACACTTGAGTGCATTTCCATTTTTCTTCTCGCGTATATTCGCGTATGTTAATTATGACGGTGTGCTTGATAAAAAGAGCGGACGAACAGAGAAAGATGAGAGAGGGAAAAACATGGATAAGGAGAACAATCCCTTAGCATTTCTGTCTGTCGAATGATAAATACGATGAAGTGAGGCATCCTCTCCAGAGGAAAACCACATTCATCCTATCCCACTACTAGCATTGCAATAGCTTCTGTCAAAACGCCTTTCTGTTATAAACCTGTAATACATCAGACTGTACGATTGTGACAGGTGATGTTCATTTTGGATGCGTTCTGTGGTGAGGATTCCCCAGGACAATCAAACCCGTATCAAACGTCAGTTCAAATTTCTCGTTCCATTGATATTCCATAGAAAAGATAAGGCAACACATTGTCAGACATTGTTTTTCTGAAAACACAAAATTAGAAAATTAAAGAGACGTGAATCCATCTGTAAAAACTGGAAGTCGGAAAATGTAATCAGGTGATATTCATTGGCAATAAATTTTTACCCTTCGATTTGTGTCCACTGAGTAAAATCCAATGTGATAGTGGGATTGAATTTTCTGTGGAGACGGTATTTTGAGACAGCACGTATAAATTTTTCGTAGATAGATATATTGAAAACGACGGAGATAAATATAGAGTGCAAATGCTGAAGAAGCTTATCCATTGGGGCAACACCAGAAAGGATAGTAATAAACGTCGATCCCAACCCCCGGAAAATGCTCGATCCCGTAGGTAAGCTTTCACATCCGTTCCCACCAATAATATAAAGCCTCGTATCTCTAACGCGCTTGTCAGTTACGGAAAAGCACACCCGAGATGGAGATACAGTGGCTGACAGATAGATAAAAAAAAAAATCCTATTTATTCGGAATTGAATATTAATTAAATGGAAAAGAGAGTGAGACAGAGCGGACTCAAGCGGCATTTGTACTTGAGATTTTCAAGTTAATATCTGGTATAAGAACAATCAAAATTTGCTCTCGTAGAGCACAAAAAAAACATTTTCATTGATAGCATTTGATCATAAACGCATAAAGCATGAAAGCTGGAAAGAGCCCGGAAGCATTTAGTGTTCGCTTTAATAATTAACTCTTGCAAAATGAATGAATCAATAAATACACTATTTCATTGCCGTGAAATTGAATGGGGTGCAGCGATTAGAATGAATCGAATGGAAAATTCTCATGAAAATTGGAATTTAAAAGGCAAATTTCTCAATTTATTAGGCTCTCATGAATTTTCCAATGTGAGCTCAGTGATGGGACATTCAGTCAACAATGCATGGTTCCCTCAACGAGCAATTTATTTTGATACAAAATAACCACAAGCATTTTGACCTATAGTGATAGTGATAGATCAAAAAGAGGAGGAGTATATAACAGAAGATATATAATACAATGTAAAATCACTATGACATGAACATATCGATGAGACAAGTGCACACAATAACACACACACACGGAGGCAAGTGTCACCATGGAAATTGAAGGATTGTGCGAATGGGTGGGCATTGACCAGAAGACCACCACCAATAATCGTAGGTTCGTACGGCTGTTTTAGAGGAAATTCTGTGTACAGCTGCACACGTATACAAACCAATAGGGAAATGGTGTTCTGCTACGCGTTTGTCAAACTCCATATATTCCCCTCTCTGATTGTGTTCCATCTAAATGTTTAATCGATGTGCGTATGCGAATGGTGACATTCGGCCAGTGGCAAACGAAAAGCACGTTCGTCATAGAACACCAAAAATTCACGAAAATCCACCAAGCATCGATTAAACTATAAATGAAAATTATTAAATAGACGTTTTGACACTTTGTCTTTCTATTATTGGTCTCTCTCTCTTGGTGAAAAGGTCAGATTCCAATCGAAAGAATAAAATATTTAAACTCTTCAGACTGGGTCGATTTTCAATTGGAAATAACGCCGCAAATAGAATGAGTTGGCCCTGTGAAAATATTGTGGTTTGTGGTATCACTGATATATCATTTTTGCTTTCAAAGATGCTACCCTCTCTTCTTACATTTTCGAAGTAAGAGTCAAATACTCTTCCTCTCGTAAAATTTTATCTAGCACACAGAAGTGTCCATAGAGATGGACTTTCTGGAAAATTGCATTAACAAGTCTAAAAGGGCTGTATACCTCAATGGAACAAGACTAAAGGTCATAGCATATCGTCACTATCGCCAGCTGAACAGAACGTATTATTAATTGTGATCCAAAATATTTTATTACCTTATTTTTTTCCTCAATTGCATTAAATGCGTAGCTCGGTCATTTTTTTCAATATTGCTGATGATATATTGATAAATAATTACTATATATATATATTTTTTTTTTGTTTCAGCGAGTAATAATGTAAACGAACCGCCGATTTTCGAGCCAGGGGGATTTCCACTTGGTTTACCTCTCAACGAATCAACGGAGGTGGGCACTGAGATATTTACCCTTAAGGGCCACGATCCGGAAGGTTCACCAGTCAAATATGGAATCCAGTCGACTGACAAGTTAACTGTTGACCCTAGCAGTGGCGTCATCACTCTCGCGAAACCCCTGGATCGTGAAGTAATTCAATATTTCATTTTTTCTCTGAATAACATATTAAATACCTAGGAGGATTCTGAAGTTATGTGCATATATGTTTTTAATCGATTTTCTTACATGTTATAATTACAATTACATTTTTAATTATTGAAATTTTTTTACCTTTTTCGAATATATTATGGAAAAAAACATAAGTAACTTGGCAAACTTATTTTTACTGAGTCAAGAAAATGAAGTAGCGCATCGGCCAATTAATTGAATCAAATTTTCTTCCAATCGTATTCTTTTTCGGGTTTTTACGATTTTTTCCAATTCCACGCTCTGGATAGCATTCGTCATAGCCCGCGAAAGAAGTACTTACTCTTACCCTACGAGAAAAGCCGAAAATTGGTGCAGCAGCCGGGAAACGAACCCAGTATCATTGCTCTATGGTTATTGAATCACACTGCGTCGGTATATTGGCAGCGCGCAGAAGCCAATAACCCATCCCAAAAATTCTACTCAACACTTTTCCTTGGTTATAAAATCCATTATTCGCACACCAAATGAGCAAAAATGAAAAGTGCAGTTGATAGGGGGAAAACAGAGATACACAGTAAAATGAAGTTGAATGAATGAACACGAAAAGGGGGGTATAAGGGAGGATGAGTTTTGTGTGGCGTTTGGTGGCTTGTCGACAGCAGCTATTCTGATGAAATAAAAAAGAAACCTGACGGCCTTTGTCCACTGAACACTGGTATATTTCGCAATACCGCTCCGGTGATACAACCCTATTGTCGTTCGACTCTCTGCATTCTTCTTCTTCACCAATCTTTAACGCTTTTTCTTGTTCGTGCGCACCGATAGGGATAAAGAGAGGAATGAGCTATGGAATTACGATAAAGATAAATAGAAGGAAGACTTGAACATTTGCGTGTTCGACATGCACAAAAGGGAAAAAGATTGACTTTCTCATGGAAATTATAGTGTTCCTTTGTGCACTTTTTCCCGAGGGTTTCTCCTTTCTCTCTCTCTACCCACTGATCAACTTGTCAATATCAGTCTCAGTGGTTGGATGGAGAATTCGAGATTTCCTGATTTCCCTGATGATCACTATTACATGATCGACCAAGTGAATTGAATTCTTCCAATTTCAATTTCAATTATCCGTTAACTCCCTAAAGTCAATATACATCTACCTTTTTACTCGACCAACAGACATTCCTTTCGCGTGAAAAAACGCCCCCTCCTTCTGGTAATTTCATTCAAAACTAACCACCATAGAGTCTAGTCGTACTGTTTGAAAGCTCAGGGTGGCATGCAAATTGCATCCACCGACGAGAATAGCGGTTGTTTTCAAGATCTCCCGACATGATAATTTTCATTAAAAACTTTCAAATTTAACGATGATTCTCACGGCCTCCAGTTGCAAAATCTCACTTGGGCAAACGATTATTGAGAAGAATAAGCATAAATATTGTGTAGATATAGATGTGTATTATTTTCGTGGTTTAATGTATTGCAGGAAAATGACACGGTAAGGTTTCTGGTAAGCCTTGAGGATAAAGTGACAGAGGGTCAACAACCGAATATCGTCGGTGTGGATGCCTATGTCATTCTGCTGGACGTCAATGATAACCCACCGAAATTCTCTGGGACTCCGTACGAAGCAATGGCTGATGAAGATACTCAGATCGGTACAACAATACTCCCTGGTATACGTGTCACTGATCCAGATTTCATTGGAGAAAACATTGAAGTGTCATGTGTATCACAACCGCAGGTAAATATCATTTCCATTGTTGATTTAATAAATTCATATATAATCGTCGGTTACTGGTGTACATCAATGAATTACATCAAAGGTTAAAATGTTTCCTTCTAATTTTAAATTCCATTGGGAGCTCATATCATTAGCTAATAATAAAAAGAAAAAGGTGAATTTTTAATAGTCCCCCGTTGAGCTGTTGTAATTTTCGAATTCAATCAATTAATGGCATTGTGCTGCTTATCGTTGGAATTTAGTAGGATAAAGCGCCTTGCTGGGTGACTGGCTGGGTGCCTGCAACGCCCAGATAACCAACTTTACCCTCTGAACACACATGCTCAAAACGACCACAGAGAGAGATGAGAACCTCTCTTCACCTTTCCCCGGTCCCTCCATAATAGTGTTAGGGAAGGTGTTAATTAATATCGGAAACTCATTACTTGGTGTATGCCTATCCAATAGTTTCCCGATGCCTGTGCCAAGTTTGGTATTGTCGACGTAGAGAAGAGTCAGAATACATACGTGGGTGCACTGGTGCTACGTCAGCCACTTGACTATAAGCAGAGACCCTTCTACCAATTGCTACTGCGGGCAAGCGTGAGTTTCTCAAGTATTAGATCAAGAATGAATCTTCATTAAGACCCCCCGTTTTGGTTGGAGAACACGTAGATGTTGATTGATTGTATCTTCAATGATTTTGCAGGATGGCGTTAACGTAGAGACCACTGGGGTGGAAATTAAAGTAGCTGATATACAGAACAGTCCTCCCGAGTTTTTGGATTCGCTCAATGGAATTGTTAAAGAGAATGACCAAATTGGTACATTGGTTATGACTGTCAAGGCGAGGGATGGAGATAGGGGTATGCCGAGACAAATTCTCTACGAGTTGGAAAGCAATCCTTTTGATTACTTCCTCCTCGATCAACACTCTGGGGAACTTAGGACGGCCAAACCCTTGGATCGAGAAGCCTTGAAAGATTCAACTGGAGTATTGACATTGAAGATAAAAGCCCGAGAAGTAGTGAATGGTATATATGGTAATGATGACTCGACAGTTTCAACGGCAAATGCAACAGTAACGATAAAAGACGTAAATGATGAGTCGCCGACATTTAATAAACGAGAGTACAGTATAGAGATACCTGAGAACGTACCTGACGGCACGCTTTTACCTCATCTAGACATGACCGTCAGAGATCCAGACGTAGGGTTGAATTCAAAATTTTCTCTACGTCTGGAGGACATAACCGGTGCATTCAGTGTTGAACCAGTGACAGCTACTGGCAGTACATCAGTAAACATTCGTGTGGTAAATGGCTCACTCGATTACGAAAATCCAAACCAACAAAAATTTATAATTCTCGTGATTGCGGAGGAATTACACACTGAGCCAAAGTTATCATCAACAGCAACTGTTACAGTGACAATAACCGATGCTAATGACAATGCGCCCTCTTTCAATTCGCCAACATATGCGGCTGTCGTATCTGAAAGTTCAGCCCCAGGTACTCCAGTTGCAACAATCAGAGCCAAAGATCGTGATAGCGGTGAATTAGGTACGGCGGGAATAATTTACCAATTGCTTGGTCAAGGCGCTGAGCATTTTGCCGTTGACAAGCGCAATGGTAGTATAACAGTAGCGGGATGTCCCTCTCCGGGCACCTCTCCATGCCTAGATTTTGAGGAGCAAAACGAGTACTTCTTGAACTACAAAGCAATCGACGACAATGGCAATGGACAAACAACAACAGTTTCGCTAAGGGTTTCACTGGCAGATGCCAATGACAGTCCCCCCAAATTTCTTCAAGATAAATATCGGGCTGTTATCGATGAGGGAGCAGAGAAGTTCGAACCAGAACTCAAAGTACAGGCGCGAGATCGTGATAAAACTTCCAAGATAACTTACTCGATAATTGATGGCAACGAAATGGGTTTCTTCGAAATTAATCCGAGCACTGGGGAAATTAGCATTGCTAATAACGGGCCCATTGATCTTACAAATTCGACGCATGAGTGGATTTCATTAATTGTTGGTGCAACAGACGGCTTGTTCTCTGACACAGCCATGGTCAATGTCACCGTGCGAGACGTGAATAATAACGATCCTATATTTCCGCATGACGTTTATACAGCGAGTGTACCGGAAACAGCGCCCACTGGCACTCTCATTGAGGAGATTTATGCAACTGATGCTGACAGCGGTATAAATGCCGAGTTGAAGTATAGAATTCAGAAAGGCGCCTTCGATGATTTTGTCATCAATGAAACAACGGGAATTGTGTCGGTTTCGGGTAAACTCGATTACGATACAAGAAATGCTTATCACATTGAAGTTATTGCTCTTGATGGGGGTACTCCGAGTCTTACTGGAACAGCAACGTTGATGATTAAAATTGAAAATACTAATAATAAGGCACCCTATTTCACTCCCAATACTCAGCGGGCAGAAATAACTGGTGATTCGCCCGTTGGAACAGTCTTCACATCGGTGAAGGCCGTTGATCCTGATAGTACAAGTCAGGATGCTTTAAAATTTTCCATAACTGAACCAATAACAGCTATCGACAAGAATGGACAGTTGGTAACGGGCAACACAACTGCATTCAAAGATTTTTTTGCCATCGACCCGAAAACTGGCCAAGTGTCAGTGGTGCGCGCTTTGGACAGAGAAATTGCTGCAACCGTCAGTCTCAATGTCATAGTCACTGATACATCAGCATCTGTTGTCCAACAAGGTGCTGGAACCCTCGTTGTTACTATTATTGATGTCAATCGCCTTCCACCTGAATTTTTAAAACCATGGACAAAAGACAATCCACAGTATATGATTGAAATGCAGGAGGAACAGCCAACTGGAGCAATCGTTGGGGCATTCACAGCCACAGATGTTGATAGCAATATTTCGGAATATACCATAAATCCCCCCAGTTCGTACTTCAATATTGACAATGTGACGGGAATTGTAAGAACAAGTCAAATAATTGATTATGAGGAGAGTAAGCAGCTCGAGTTTATAGTAGTAGCTTATGATTCTGGAGTTCCTCAACTATCTTCAACAGCCAAAATTATTGTCAACATTATTAATGTCAACGATCAGGATCCAAAATTCCAGCAAGAATCATACAATGTCACTGTCAGAGAAAATTCCCCAGCAGGAACTCATGTGACCATCGTTAAAGCTACTGATAGTGATGAAGGAGTTTTCGGTGAAATTAGTTACAGCTTGATTGGAGAGCATGCTTCTGATTTTAATATTGGACATGAAACTGGTGAGATCACCGTTGGGGCTGCTACTGTTCTTGATCGAGAAGAAACAGGTGAAATAACAGTGACGGTTATGGCGAGCGATGGAGGGCCAATTAAGTCGAGAAGATCGACTACAGTTCCTGTTGTTATTCATCTCGAGGACGTGAACGATAATAAACCTGTATTCACTCAACACAGCTATCGAGCTTCAGTTGCTGAAAATCTGTCCATTAATCCTCCAGCTACTATTCTCCAGGTGCGTGCTGAAGACGACGATGACGATGTGAATGGAAAAGTATCGTATACAATAGTGAGTGGAAATGAAGACGGGGCTTTTAGTCTCAATGAAGAAACAGGTTTTCTCTATCCGGCAATGAGTTTAGCTGGTCGTGCTGGAACTTACAGGATCCAAGTGGAAGCAAGAGATGGCCAGGGGGGCAAAGGCCCACACTCAGATAAAGCTTATGTAGATATCCGGGTAATTGCTGTTAATCAACATAAACCTGAATTTGTTATGCCTGAACTTCCAAATGCAACAGTCCAAGTGCCCGAAAATGCGGGTATACCAAACTACTTGGTGATGAGAGTGAGAGCAACGGATGAAGATCCCGGTGAGAACGGAAGGATCAGTTATTTTGTCAAAGTTGGTAATCGTAATGTACCCGAAACTGATGAGTTTATGATTGACCAAGAGAGTGGTGAACTACGAGCGAAAATTATCCTCGATAGAGAAGTGAAGAGCAAGTTTGAGTTAGTTTTAGTTGCCACAGATCATGGTAATCCAACCAATTATGAAACTCTACGGCTTTTAACAATTGTACTTGTTGATACTAATGACAATATTCCCGAGTTTTATGAAGAATACAGCTTCCATGTAGCTGAAAATCGCCCTAAAGATTCCGTGGTTGGCAGAGTCGCGGCTGAGGATAAAGACGAGGGGAGACATGCCCGAGTGTACTATTATATTGCCGGAGGCAATGATAATACTTCATTTTACATTGACAAATCGGATGGAACAATTTACACAAACAAATCATTCGATAGAGAAACACGTGATAATTATGTATTATCTATTGTTGCGGCTAATGATCCAGATCTTTATATTGCTCCATCAGAGCCTGGAAAGTCGTTGACATTTAATCCTGAGCATGGATACGTTAACGTTACAATATCCATTCTCGATGAAAATGATAGTCCACCGGTTTTTGAGAGGAGTGATTACTACACGGGAATCAATTCCATGGCCAACGTCAATGATATCGTGGCAAAGGTAACAGCTTATGATCAGGATGTTGGTGAAAATGGCACTTTACATTATTACGTTGCATCGGCCAATCTTTACAAATACGGATCGGATAAGCCCAGTGGATCGATTGTACCGAGTCCCTTCAATGTCTCTCAAGATGGCAAACTTCGAACCAGTGGTTATATGGCTGAATATAATCAGGACAGATTTATTGTTGAGATTGTAGCGAAAGAGACAGCTTCTCCGGAACGATTCGCCATGGCGAGAGTTCACGTATGGGTTTTTGAACCTTCTCAATTAATTCGGGTTATTCTCTCTCGCCCCCCTGATGAGGTTCACAGACAGAGAGATGAGATTGTTGCCGAATTATCAAATGCAACTCAAAGTAGAGTTGTTGTTGATGAGATACGCTATCATGTTGATTCTGCTGGAAAAATCCGTCGGGAATGGTGTGACATGTATTTACATGTTGTTGACCCCAAAAATCAAAATATCACACCAGTTCCCCAGGTTCTCCGAGCAATTGATGCCAAATATGATATACTCAAAGATTATTATATCGGTTTTGCTATTGAAAATGTTGTTCCCGCTTTTGCTGGGCGGCAGGAGGCACCCTTTGATCCTGCTCTCGCTGCTCTCATAGCCCTCCTTGTCGTTTTATTAGTTGGAGCTGTCACTGTTACCGTTGTATGCTGTTGTCTCAGACATTGGGTCATTACTGTTCCCAGCGATATTAGAAAAAAAGATGGCCTCATAAAGAAACAAATAATTGACGAATTGAACACTACTGAGAATCCTCTCTGGATTGAACAAAAATTGAAACTCTATGAGGAACAGGAATTGACGATGCAAGTTTTCAGTGAACCTGAGGGGGCACTGGTCAGTGAGAGAAGAGGGAGTGGAGTTAGTGTTGGTATGGATACATCGCAAGATAACACCTATGCTACTATTCAACATCCCGCCCCGGCTAATAGGCATCGGCCAACAACCCCGGATTATACAACGCTACCTGGAAATCATAGCCTATATGAGTCTGCTATGGGTTTTCAGGGATCAACATTTCAACCATCAACCACTGTCGTCCCACAATTAACACTTGATCGTGATGGTCAGCCACAATTTGTCTCGGGACTCGTATAAAAGGCCAAAATTATTTAAATGATCGTTATCATCATCATCATCATCATCATCATCATCATCATCATCATCATCATCATCATCATCATCATCATCATCATCATTCCATTTGATTTGATTTTTTTTTTCCTGTAGTAATCATCATGGCATGATCATTCTTTGTTACTATGTTATCTGCATGAATGACTCGATTAATCAGTATTTGGATTAATGAGCTTCCAACAAACGGTCAGAAAATTTATTAAATCGCAAGCTCGCACACAACTGGGCCTCGACAATAACTGGATCATATGATTTGGTCTAAGAATGTGCGAGTTGAAAGAATAGTAGAGCGTTATTTCCGGTTGCCGAGTAGTTAAGATAAGACTATTTCTCTGAAACAGCCCAATCATGTATTACACATCCCATAATCGTCATTGTCAAATAATGTTGTCTATCTCTTGTCTAATTGCGCATAAAATTCTCATTGACATCTTTAATCATAAAATCATATATATGAAAGACATATATAAGTATTAGACACTATTAGATTAGAAAACTGATTGGAAAACGATTATGTATTAATCTAGCTGGTGTGTGCATGTATATATTTGTGCGTTGCCAATTTGAGGTACGATTTTAATTGATGAATGGCTGAATGAAGATAATCCATATGGTAGATATCATTAAATTTGATTAACTGAGATGAATGGTGGTAGGATTTTTTTGTCGGGCGACCACAGGTATATAAGGTATTATGTATATAAATGAATGTGTAGATGGATCCGTCCAGTCCAGGTCTTTCCCCTGTTCTGTTTTCTTTCTTTTTCTTTTTTCTTTTCCTTTCCCCACTAACGTATTTACTTTTATTCTGTACGTTTATACTGCCAATTTTGTGGTCATCCCACACATGTTAAGTCACTAGCTTAAATACACTTAATTACTCGTAATTATAGTTGTAAAAGTTTATCAGTGAAATATGATTAATAGGTCATGATTAATGATATCATGGTTGGTCCATAACTTAGAATATTTAATTTGTTAAAATTGTGGAGACGTTTTTGGATCTGTGATTTGGTGATAGTTGGCTGCGGCATTGATTATGAATTTTTTCGTAAATTCATTAACTAATGTTTTTGTTAATGGATTGGATCCAGGAGGCTGTGGGCGGACATAATCATATCCATAGGTGAATCAAAAAAATAAAAAAAAAATAATAAATGATTTTAAAAAGTGAAAAAAAAAAAAAGTATAGGTAAATTGAACGGTGACGTCGATTCGCAACGAATCCTGATTCCATCCGTCGATTGAATTCCGAACTAATTGATTATTATATTGAATTTGAGCAGACTGGCCAGCAATGTTTTGTACAACTTGAAAAAGCTCAAGCCGTCCTTCTTCCATTTTTACTAAACTCATCAAAGCAAATATTGAGATAGCGAGAAATAGGTTGTGGAAATTCACTTTGAAATAATGTGAAATGAACATGATTCTGACAAAATACACGGTGGAAATTGATATTTTTTTTTTAATCGGTGGAATTTGCTGCGAATAGCAATCACCGGATCAAATATAGTGTCTTGCGTATTTAGTGTAGATGTCTTTAATACGACAGGAATGAGAATAAGAGTGAAAGATAACATTAATCAATTTTTCCGGAAAATTCATGTTATCAGTAAGGATCGTATAAATATTATTACGTTGTATGGTTGCTATCATCACTATTATTACTCGAAGATAGAAAAAATTATTGTCTGTTTATTGATTACAATATCAATTGTAATACTGTAACATATTTTATGTAAGCGATTATTACAAAGATATTCGTACGCAAATTACATTGACAAGGATGAAAATTATTTTTCACCCGCTTAAGTCGATTTTTTTTGGTCCAATTGGTCCTTGAATTATCAATTTTTCTTTTAAAATAGCATCATCCGTTGTATTACCTTGTTTGACTGTTAGTCCTTCGGACGTGACAATTTTCTCCACATCATGATCGATGGCTACAACGCATTTTGGAGTGTAATGAAAAATTTTAATTACAGCCTCGGGTTGATCAGTCCATAATTTATATGCCCTTTTCGTTGGGATCATTTTTGTCGTTCCACAAACTAGACACGTAAATTTCACAGCTTTCAATGGTTTCGATATCAATCTAACTCTAGCCGATTCACCAGCTATTAGAGGAGTTTGACAGCACTTGCAGATGCTTCGTTTGATGTCGGGTTCCCTAACAAAAAGAAAAAATGGCACAATAGAATTTAATCATCACAAATGAATTTTTGAAAAATTAACATATTGACAAGTATTAAATTTACATTCTGAGGACCGATCGTTTTCCACAGCTGACCATCATATTTCCACACAGGGAACTACCTACAAAATCCTTCATTGATGATAACAGCTGACCAGCTTGCAAGAGGTAGTTCATCCGTTCGAAGACATCTTTCCCCTGACATAATTGCTCACCTTGAAAAATTTCCACGTTCATATTAATAATTTGATTTTGTTATGAGCAAAATACAGTTTTTTTTTCTGGTTCAGGTGCATACCCATTACAAAATAGTACACTATTCCATATCCAAAGGGGTTATGTTGTACTTCAGACCGCTTTCACTCAATAAAAATACAAGACGACAAAATAAAATGGAAATTTTCTATTTTCATTTATATTTTCTATTATATCAACGATGTATAAAAAGGTGTCGTACAATTGAATTAAATTCTTGTCAGTGTAACAGATAAGGATGATAATACTTTCCGAGAGAGATTCACTGAAATACTCGTAACACTTGCCACTGAATGAATGAACACGGTCCTTATTTAATATTCCGTGGCACCCGGTACAAATCATATATGATATATGAAAATAAAATCTTCATTTACACCAATTCTTTATTACAAAATTATTTAGTCATTGTTAAAAAAAATGAAAATAGGCATAATTTTATGGCTTGTAGTAATACGGAGAATAAGCAGGCTCTTGAGGATAACCTACTGATGGAGTTAATGTTTCGGGGTTTTTTTTATCCGATATTTTATTCTTCAGGGAAGCAACACTCTTAATGACGGGTGTGGCAATAAATTTGGGAATTGCCGTTTCATTGATTTTGTTAGGAGAAACATTTTCCTGCTCGTCCTCAATATTGTCATCATCCTTGTAGAATCCGTCCGAAATTTCAAGACTTTCCATCATGTCTGGGTTCAAAATGCTGCTGTTATCATCAGCTTTTTTTTCTCTACCAAAGAAACAAGTCAATTCAACGGTTTAATAAATGTAAATGGTTGTCTAAAACCATTCTAAACTGCGACGGATATTTACTCATTAGATTGGGCAAGTCTTTCATATCCAAATTCAGTGAGAACTTCTTCGATCTCATAAACTTGCTCTCCCAAGTCCTCATAAATATTTTTACAATCATCTGAGAATTTTAACAGGTCCATCATGTAATTATCTCTTGGCAAATTGTCACCAATTATTTCATCCTAAAACATGAAATGATAAGAAAAAAAATGGAAAATTTTTTAGGGGTTTTGTCACCCTTACCCGAATATCAATACATCAAACAATTTACGTACATGGATATCTTTCATCGTATCCAAAAAATGTTCCAAATGCTCGCTTGCCTCTTCCACCAGCTCTCCATATTTACTAATAAAGATATGAGGTGTTTCCCATTGTCTATCCAAACGTTTAATACCCTCATCAAGCACTTTCCCCTTGCGTCGTAAATCCTCCCAAAAATTGGACATATTTTTGCTTTCTCAATAACAATCCTCCTTTAGTAAAAAAAAAACCATGGACTGGAAAGTGTCATGAAAAGAGGATTGACTGAGAAAATTGATTAAAGTAGAGGCTCAGTTATGGGGGTTTGAGTGACCCCAGTGGCATCGTAGTACTGCACCCCAAGAGAGGGAGGGCGCCGTCTGTAGAACGTACGGAAGGGGGAAACCACATCTTGTTGAATTTCAATGGAAAAAATTATTCAATGTATTAAATATATACCACTAATGAGTTTATAATTTTAAATGAGAACGTTGTCCTAGTGGTAACGTGCTCGACTGGTACGCCGGCGGCCCGGGTTCAATCCCGGCATCATTCATTTTTTTTTTTTCATAATAATTCCAATTTTTTATTTTTTGTTAATGGCAAATCAATCGAAATATCGCTTAAAAACTGAATATTTGATAATCGAGAAGATATCCAGTGAAATTGAAAAATTAGCAATTTTTTAAAACAATACTTTTGCAATATATATACTCCTAATGAAATTTTTTTATTGTAATAATGCGTTATCCTAGCGGTAACGTGCTCGGCTACCACGCCGACGGCCGGGGTTCAAGCCCGCCGTCATTCATTTTTTTTTTTAAATAATTCCAATTTTTTCTTTTGTAACTGGCTAATAAATCGAAATAGTGGTTAAAAACTGAATAGCTCCTCGATTGTCATGTTCTCCTGATATTTTTACAAAAATTTCAAATTTTTCACCTTCAGTGAAAATTTCAGTGAATAGCTCTTCGATTGTCATGTGCTCCTGATACTTTGACAAAAATTTCGAATTTTTCACTTTCAGTGAAAATTTCAGTGAAGAGCTCCTCCATTGTCATGTTCTCCTGATACTTTTACAAAAATTTCGAATTTTTCACCTTCAGTGAAAATTTCAGTGAATAGCTCTTCGATTGTCATGTGCTCCTGATACTTTGACAAAAATTTCGAATTTTTCACTTTCAGTGAAAATTTCAGTGAAGAGCTCCTCGATTGTCATGTTCTCCTGATACTTTTACAAAAATTTCGAATTTTTCCCTTTCAGTGAAACTTTCAGTGAATAACTCCTCGATTGTTATGTTCCCCTGATACTTTTTCAAAAATTTCGAATTTTTCAATTGCAGTGAATACATACCTAAAGAAAAAATTGGAATTATTAAAAAAAAAAAATGAATGACGGCGGGCTTGAACCCCGGCCGTCGGCGTGGTAGCCGAGCACGTTACCACTAGGATAACGCATTATTACAATAATTAAATTTCATTAGGAGTATATATATTGCAAAAGTATTGTTTTAAAAAATTGCTAATTTTTCAATTTCACTGGATATCTTCTCGATTATCAAATATTCAGTTTTTAAGCGATATTTCGATTGATTTGCCATTAACAAAAAATAAAAAATTGGAATTATTATGAAAAAAAAAAAACGAATGATGCCGGGATTGAACCCGGGCCACCGGCGTACCAGTCGAGCACGTTACCACTAGGACAACGTTCTCATTTAAAATTATAAACTCATTAGTGGTATATATTTAATACATTGAATAATTTTTTCCATTGAAACTCAACAAGATGTGGTTTCCCCCTTCCGTACGTGCTACAGTCGGCTAAATTTCAGTTAAACAAATGAAAAACAAAAAGCATTCGTACAGCAGAAAATAAAATTCACCCCGTCGACTTGATGGACACCCCAGCATTGCAATAAAAACTTGGTTAATAAAAAAAAACACTCCAGCATTGCGTGTTGCGCCCTCCCTCTCTTGGGGTGCAGTACTACGATGCCGCTGGGGCATTCAAACCCCCTGAACTGAGCCTCTACTTTAGTCAATCCTCTTTGGACCCCACTAGCATCGTAGTACTGCACCCCAAGAGAGGGAGGGCGCAACACGCAATGCTGGAGTGTTTTTTTTTATTAACCAAGTTTTTATTGCAATGCTGGGGTGTCCATCAAGTCGACGGGGTGAATTTTATTTTCTGCTGTACGAATGCTTTTTGTTTTTCATTTGTTTAACTGAAATTTAGCCGACTGCTTTACGAAATTGGTATTCCCTGAAATTGCCAAATTCAAAATTTTCGAAAAAGTATCAGGATAACAGAAGATCCGAGGAGGTATTCACTGAAATTTCAAAATTCAAAATTTTTGAAAAAGTATCAGGAGAACATGAGAATCAAAGAGGTATTCACGAAATTTAAAAAATCAAAATTTTCAAAAAATATCGAGAGAACATGAGAATTAAAGAGGTATTCACTGAAATTTAAAAATTCAAAATTTTCGAAAAAGTATCGGGAGAACATGAGAATCAAAGAGGTATTCACTGAAACTTGAAAATTCAAAATTTTCGAAAAAGTATCAGGAGAACATGAGAATCAAAGAGGTATTCACGAAATTTAAAAATTCAAAATTTTCAAAAAATATCGGGAGAACATGAGAATCAAAGAGGTATTCACTGAAATTTCAAAATTCAAAATTTCTGAAAAAGTATCAGGAGAACATGAGAATCAAAGAGGCATTCACTGAAATTTCAAAATTCAAAATTGTTGAAAAAGTATCAGGAGAACATGAGAATCAAAGAGGAATTCACGAAATTTAAAAATTCACAATTTCCAAAAAAATATCGGGAGAAGATGAGAATCAAAGAGGTATTCACTGAAATTTCAAGATTCAAAATTTTCGAAAAAGTATCAGGAGAACATGAGAATCAAAGAGGTATTCACTGAAATTTGAAAATTCAAAATTTTCGAAAAAGTATCAGGAGATCATGAGAATCAAAGAGGTATTCACTGAAATTTAAAAATTCAAAATTTTCGAAAAAGTATCAGGAGAACATGAGAATCAAAGAGGTATTCACTGAAATTTAAAAATTCAAAATTTTCAAAAAAATATCGGGAGATATTTTTCATCTATCACTCTATAGACCCTCCCTCTCTTGGGGTACAGTACTACGATGCCGCTGGGGTCACTCGCACCCCCAAAACGCCTCTACTTTAGTCAATGCTATCTGGTGTCATGGGCGGTGAGCCGAGAAAACATTCTCGTGTGAACTAGGGGGAAAAAAATTACCAGAGCTCAAAGAAGACCACTTATTATCGAGAGTCGATGTTTTCAGGACGCACGAGTCATGCGGAATCAGCCAATCACCAACGAAAGTTTCCGTTGGAAGATCAATCTCCCAAACGAACATCTCTGCTATTGTTCCACCACCATTGCTATTCCCTTTCTTCATAGCAAAAACCGGTTGTCGTTTGCCGGTGTGGTATGTGCTACGGACTATTACATACGTAAAGTTACCACCGAAAGACTAAAGCAGCCCAAACCAACTGAAAGCCATTGGCATTACAGTACGTTCTCTCGAGTACATCTCATTTTAACTCTAGTATTATATTCAATTCAACGAGTCTTCATTACAGCATAAATTAAAGGTAACGTCGTCAATTTCAAACCATTCATTGTGCCTATATTTTTTTTGTACAGTTCATTTCCATTTGTTCTGGCCATTTCTTTGGTTTTCGAGATAATACGCCATTCCTTTGTCCCATCAGATTCAACCGAGTCATGTTCGCTCTGTTATGTGATATTAATAAATCCTTAGATCAGAGATTTTTTTGTCATTCCGAAATGATGGACCGGGAGAAAAAATTAAGGCTGCTAATTGTTTAATATTTTTGATAATGTTGTTGATTCAGTTCGGGATTTGTTTGCTATTGAATATGGATCGAATAAAGAGTTTGTCCGAAAATTACTTGTTAATGTTAATGTGAGTGAAACGCCTCATTTATCGCATATAATGTATATTGAAACAAAGAAAATTCATGGAAGATTGAGTACAGCTAGATAGGATTGCCACGTGGTCAAAGAAATTTAGCGATTATATCTCGGCAACGAATCAAATTTTTTCTACGTTATTCAATACACTCTGAATATACTCCAGATGTCTGGACTGGCACTGCAAAAACCGGCACCAGCCTTCAAAGGCACTGCCGTTGTTAAGGGACAGTTCAAGGACATCTCGTTGAGCGATTACAAAGGAAAATATGTTATTCTTTTCTTCTACCCTCTGGATTTGTAAGTATATGTATAGGTGAATTTAAAGATTTAAGGAATTGCATTGACTATTATATAATGCATAAATGAAATAATATAATTTCGAACGCATGAAACTTGCAGTACTTTTGTATGTCCAACTGAGATAATAGCATTCTCAGAGCGGGCAGCTGAGTTTCATGCTATCAACTGCGAGGTAATAGGGGCTTCGTGTGATTCACACTTTAGTCATCTTGCCTGGGTGAACACTCCACGTAAGCAAGGGGGACTAGGACAAATGGATATCCCTCTCCTCGCTGACAAGAGTTTAAAAATTGCACGTGCTTACGGAGTCCTTGATGAGGAAACTGGCATTCCATTCCGTGGTCTTTTTATTATCGACGATAAGCAAAATCTCAGACAGATTACCATCAATGATCTGCCAGTTGGCCGGTAAGTATTTTCCATCCGAATGAAGATATTATATACTAGGATAATGGCATCAACGATGGTGTTGTGTACTTTTATAGGTCAGTTGACGAGGCTCTTCGTCTGGTTCAGGCATTCCAGTATACTGACGTCCACGGTGAGGTTTGTCCGGCTGGCTGGAAGCCCGGTAAAAAAACCATGAAACCCGACCCCGTAGGATCCAAGGAATACTTCCAAAACAATTAAATCACCATTTTCACAAAGAGAAAATCATAATATTTTTCATTCTAGAGCTAATCCATTTCACTTTCAATAAACCACACGATTAATTCCAATAGTTTTAAGAACGAAATTCATTTCATTTTCAAACAATTGGTTGTCAACTATCACGCTAGTCGTGAGTATTATTGTTTTCGTTCAAAGAAGAACAAACGAATAAAAAGAGCATCATAAGAAAACTGAGCGTTATTTTTATTTCAAGTATTTTCTTTTCAGTTTCTTCTGTTTTTGTCAATGATGTGAAGACTAACGCTATGAGAACATAAATGATTAACCTTGAGAGCCATCACGAGAATTGAAAGCGTTACTATTTATCCTCATCCTCTACACCGTAAAGCCATTGGAAAATTCTAGAATGCCTCAAGGTTGTGAAAATGCTATTACAAATACAGGCAAGTTTGTTTCACACTTTGTGGAATCAATCGCTGACTTCCACCGACGATAACTTTATGGTCTATCAAGGTTATCAGACCAGAGATAGTATGAACGTCAATTGATTTTTAATTATAGTTATTACTAAATTATCTTTGGTGGATAGATGAAAAAAAAATATTGACTTGCGACAAATTGATTATTAACATCAGGATGGGGATTGTGCAATTATTTCATCACCGGTCTGTGCTGCATGTGCAGTCTGGCAGAGGCTGGTGCCTCTCTGATTGTTACGATCCTGACACCTCTACTTGCATGTGATCTTGGTTACAGCAAGCCAGATGTCATGACCTTGAATGCACTTTCCTCTCTAGGTATTAAGTAGAAGTTTAATACGCAATTGGTATAGAAAATGAATGGAATATTATTGTACTCAGGCATGGCTGTAGGTGCTGTACTGTTTGGGAGCCTTGGAGATAGTAATGGTCGTAAATTGCAAATTCCTACGACTATGATCATCATATTTTGCTCCTCCATTGGATTGTCATTCTCCCAGAACTATATCCTCATTGGTCTCTTTATATTTATTCTCGGAGTTGGGTAAGACCTCCTGTGACATTCGATTGAAGCATTGGTGCATTTATGAAATGATTATAAAAACTTTCTAGCCTTTCAGGAAACAATGTCATGCTTCGCGTCTACATGATAGAATGCCTTCCAGCTAAACGTCGAGGAAGTTACGTGGCACTAGTAGATTTTATGTGGATCGTTGGCATGATTTCGGCGCTTGGTGCGATTTTTATATTTAGACTGAGAATATGAACGATGTAGAAATCTTAATGTCTATGCAATCCCTATTAACTGCAATCCCTATTTACTAGAATATTTTTAAAGAATGTGAAAATATGGAAAGTAATATTTATTGAGAATGAAGGAAAGGAAGATAGAATGTTATTGAATAGCACGGTAATACTGTGATAAATTTCAAGGCATGGCCTGGTGGTTGGTGCCCTCGATAATTCGAATGCTGGAGAATGAGTTTCGGCCAAGCTCATGGAGAGTCCTTGCAGGAATCGGTGGAGCTCCAAGTCTTATAATGGCCTGCGCAACGAGTCTCTTGCCTTCAAGCCCGAGATACTTAGTTTCTCAACGACGTCCGCTCCAGGCGTTGTCTGTCCTCCAGCAGATATTTGCAATTAATCACTCAAAGCATGCCAACAATTATCCTGTATGTATGTTATTTGCAAATTTGCTTTCTTCCTGAAAATTGAAATTAAGTTAATTGGCAAATATTGCAGCAATGCAATTTAAATGGTGATCAAACACAGAATGATGATATTGACGAGTCTAGCAATACATTGGTGGTTATAAAACGGCATTTCATCAAGATGTGGGGGCGAATTGTTCTCATCTGTTCACCCAAATTTATGAAAAATACATTGCTATTACTTACAATACGTCTATTGCTCTTTCCTGGGTAAATTCTCAAATTTTATTAAAATGAGACTTACAAGATACAAAATCGTGTCAACTCCCAAGATTTATAACGATTCAGATTAATCTGGATAGCACTTTGGAGCACCTATTTCACCCACATGGGAAGTCACGCGGAAAATACAACCTTGACATTGGCTGAAAATTGTGTAACTGATACTGGGGACATTGTGATGAGCTTCCTTCATAATTGTCACGTAGCCAACTATTCGTACTTCGAGTACTCGATTATTTTATCATCGGGATATGCCTTGGGAGAATGTCTAATGGTACTGGCCATTGATGTTATTGGGAGAAAATTGTTTATCAGTAAGCAGATTTATTTGTTTTAACCAAGTAAAAAAATGAACAATAATAGATATTTCCTGCGGAAGAACGTGATTTTTTTCCTTTTACCTCGGAGGATTCACATCAGAATCTTGATAAATTCGATTGAAGCATAATGTCTATAAATACAGTTCTTGAAATTTATTTGTATTGGAATTACGATCGATGGATTTTAACCGGAATTTTAACCGGAAGGAGAAAGTGATTGATCGTGACTGCGCCGTATAAACACTAGTACTAAAAATACTTGTTTTAAGAAAATCATAGAAGTACGGCTGGGGGATTTCGAAAGCGCATAATGTTTTAATTGCGACAATGGCAAAAAATTCCTTCCTCACGACTAATATTCTTATCCGTTTAAATTCGAAATAATTAAAACGATAAACTAAGCGAATTGTTGTCTAGGAGAAGCGCTCTCGTCCAAAATGACACTCATTTCACAATAATGTTTTTCATATTTCAGTGACTTCTGCTTTGATTGGGCAGACATCTATCCTCGCTATGATTTTTCTTTCTTTGCATAATAAAATTCTCCTTTGGATATTGTTCCTCGCCTCGTATTCTGTTATGCATACAATAACGATAATAATAATGCTGGAAAATTATCCAACATCTGTGCGGTATGCAATTATTTTTAAAATTTTTTAAATATGTATATTGTTTGTAATTGATTTTGTGACGAGTTTTAAATTGCAGAGGAACGATGACAGGCCTCACCGGAGTACTGCCCTATCTCGCTTCATTCTTCATAAAGTTCCTCATCCACATTCCATGTTCAACCGCTCTGTACATAGTATCCAGTCTTTTAATAGGTATCAACCAAAAAATATACATGAAAAACAAAGAAACTTTAAACTTCATGGGGATATTTTTGCACACGTGTTAAACACACCCTCAATGCCAAGAAGGCAACAAAAATATGTGAAGTACGGAGGGAAAACTGTTTACATAGCAAAATACAAACAATGTTGTATGAAAAATGTTGATAGTATCTATCAGACTATAATTATCATACTCGAGATTGATTTAATTGCATATTTTTGCACAGGGGCTGCAATAGCAGCTTTGCTTATACCAGACTTGACCAATCTCCCCATGCAAGAGTGAAGCGCTTAAAAATCGTGGTAATTCACTAAACCCACTTGTTACTGAGCTCCTATTCCATAACGACACAAAGTTATAGTGCTTCAATTAAAAATAAATAATGTATTTTTTTTTTTATTTAAAAAATTCAAAGGGCAACAAAATATACAATGCGGTAATAAATGATATTCAATAATATAGTAAAAAAAAAAGAGCATACATTCTTGTGAGATTTACAGAAACCTTGGGAAATTTCATAACAGTCAAAGTCAAATAAATAATCTCTGAAAAAGAATTTCGACGTAATATATAAAGTAAAATCCCATACACACGTGCAAAAAAAATTGAAGAGATGAAAAAGTGATCGTGGAAGCCCGATGGACCGTCTTCCGCATGTCTATTTTAACCAGCTAGAGTAGATGAAGAAACATTTATAATTGCGCATGCTCACCCGATCTTACTCGGCACTCGTTTCAGTCTCAGTCTTGATTTTTCTCAACAGTATTCATCGGGCAGTCACGTAGATAATTTACTATGCTAGAATTTTGCCATATTTCACGGTGCAGACTGGTCCGAGAGAGCCAACGAGAATTGAGTAGTAGTACTAGAAGATGCAATCGTAGTATTTCATGGCGAAATAATGGAATTGGCATGTTAAATGAAAAATTGTGAAGGACTAAGGCTTCATTAAAAAAGTGAAAAAAATAAAGTCCCTGAAGATATTATATTATTGATTTCAATGAGTAATATCCATGGAACGCAGTATGGAAGCCCAGATGGATCAAGTATCATCCCTTTGTGGAAAAAAATCATTGCGCAAATGTCGGCGGAGGTTCGAGAGAAATCTTCCAACACCTCCTCCAGATCCTATTTCCAGATTAGCCTGTTCAGATGATTCCCTCTCGACAGTAGCAGTTGGCAATGTGAATGATGCCTTCAATCATATATCCAAACTCTACATTGTTGTAGAGCAAATGGTGGAAATACGAAAGAGGAGTTGCAAATTATTCAACCGAGTGCGCCAACTGGAGCGAGTGATAGCTTTGAAAAAGGCTAATAGCGAATTAGAAAAGGCTTTGTCGAGCGGTGAAGATGTACCAATGAGTGAGGAAGATGTTGGATTTGCTGAATCGCTGCTAGGTGCAATGTTAGCTAGCAATTTTGAGGTATCAAGGCGGACCAGCAGAGCATCAACTTCAGCGAGAAGAAACAGAGAGCAGAGGAGAGTATCTTGTCCGATCGCTTCATCGCAACCTGGCACGCCAACGACAAGTTCGTTAAAACCCACCACGAAAAATTCTCTGGCTACAGTGAGCGTCAATTACAAAAAAAGACCATCATTGGTGATGGGACTACCCAAAGTGTCCAAGTGGACACGAGTAAAGGCTGCTTTTAAGTGGGAGCGCGCATCGTGTAACACAGCGGAAGTTCTCTTTGCTGAAACAGACAATCCTACCAAATTACTCATTATACCTGAAAATAATGCTGGCTCCAGTGAAGTATCTGGACCTCCCACGCCCGCCGGCACCATATCCTCGTCGTCATCCATCGATGATGTCTTTCATAGTGAGTCTCATTAATTGACGGCAAATTGTATCTCTCTGCTATTTTTGGAGCCTTCTCCTTTTTCTAGTTTAAAAAAAAATCAGTCAATCCATTCATTTCAGAGATTAATGATAATTTTTAATTAGCTATTTGCCTTTGAAGGATCCCGGAATGGCAGTGGTCAAAGAAGTAGAAGAGAGAGGCCTGAGAGAGAAGGGGGGAGGGAATTTGATAATTCAAATCCATCAAGAAGGAGCGGCTCATTTCATGGAGAAACACTAGTTGGAATGAAATTGACTTATGCCCAGCGAGGCAAGCAGGTGATTGATCTAGTCCTTTGGTAAATTAAAATAAGCTATGAAAATAATGAATTCAAGTTTTGTCTCAGGATCCTTTGAGTGCAGGGAAAAACGAATGCCGGATGAGCAAAACACCGTGGGGAAAAATGAAGGACATAATGGCACTTCGCCGCGATAGTTTGGGAAGACAAACAAGTCAAAATTCACGAAATGAAGATAACCGTTCAACATCAAGTTTAGACTCAGCTGATATACAAAGAATCGAGGTAATTTTCAATGAAAACAAATATTGCAAATTGCACGTTTGTTATCCTTTGATCCCTTTATTTTTTTAATGCAAATGAAAATGAGGGTAAAATTTTTCCGAGAGTGATTAGAGGTCGACATCCTCAGTTCAAGTGTGGATGCTGGGCTGCCCCGTGTTAGCGTGTTAGCCCACTTCTGCATTTAAAAATATCCTAGTATGTATACAGGAACGAAAAAATATTCCCGAGTGCCGAGTGTAGAGTGAGCATTCGGCACATGTGCAGTCTTTTTTCATTCATTGATTTTTATTATTATATATTTGAGTTTTTCAACAGGATGGAAGAGTTCCTCGTCTTCGAATCACCTCAGAGCCGTCAGGAACGTCAGTGCACGTTATGAGTAATGCTCTCAAATCAAATGTTAAACATAAAGAATTGAAGGACCTCGCTTCTAGAAGGCTTACCCCTACATTAACCATCACTGTGCCATCAAGTGAAGAATTACGAAGCATATCTTCACCAGAGTCCATTACACCCCCACTTTCTGTTCGAGCTGACAAGTTTTCTCCAGGTTGTGACATCCCAACTAAAAAAAATGAACAGATTTCTCCAGGTTCATCAAGCTCTGGTATCCTTAGGTATGGATTAGGGAAATCAAAAACATCTCAGGCCATTTCCGCCGACTTTAAACGGCAACAATCCTCAAAAGGAGATTCTCTGAGTTCTTCGCCGAAAATCCAGAGGAGGAACTCCAAGTGGAGCAAAGTAAAGAGAGCTTTCTTAACCAGTGCCACATCGGTTCCAACTAGCCCTAGCAGAGTATCATCATATTTTTTTGACGGTGAAATTCATACAATACAATAATCATGCTGTTGCATTTTTTTCTATCGGCCAAACAAATTTCAAATGCTTCTCTCATGTAGGAACCACGACTATTCTTTGCAATTACCTCAATTATTTTTCTCTTCGCGCAAGACTTGAAATTATTCGCATAAGGAGTATGTAAACTTGTTATTGCTCGGAGGTATGGAGAAAATATGTTTATGTCATTGCGGCCGGTAAAACGCGTTTCTAACCTTGCTTCGCTTGGATAAAAACGCGTTTTCGGCCACAATGACATAAAATAGCAATCATAGCCACGGCGAAAAAAAATGATTCTGACTCATGCGCATTATAATCCTCGTCTCCGACTCGGACTATAAAGTCGCATTCGTCAGATTCCCTTTTTCCGTCCTAGGCGTGAAAAATACTATGACAAAGAATTTGTGGGGTAAATTTTGAAAGTTGCATTTGGAAAATTACCATCCCGTAGGCGAACTAAAACAAAGTGAGCGTCTATTTGCTTTGAATAAAAATTGTAAATGTATTTACAGATGGTGAGGCAACAGCGGCAAGTTACAGTGCCAGTGCAAGTGCTGAGGATTTGGATAATGACAATGCATTTTCTAACCCAGTAGTCCAAGCAGAGATTCAGAGAAATTATCGTCTTCTTAATGATAAATTAGGTACAGAGTTCTATCGAAAATTGGGAGAATGGGAGAAAGTTAAGTCAGTTTCTCCGAATAGAAATTGTAGACAGAATGACACATTGCGTTTAGCCCGTGTAAAAGATATGGACAATGTGCGGCTGCTTACCGAAGAGAAATTGACTCCTGAATTTAAAAAAAAGTTGGAGGAGTGGAAGAGAATGAATAAAAGTGGAATTCCTCCTGAGCAACGTATTCTTAGTAAACGGAGATTGACGGATTGGCAGCTTTGGAAATCTCCATCGAAGACGGTATCTAAGCCAGAATCTCCCGGTAAACTTTCAGATGATTTTGTAAAGAAGATGGAGGGGTGGACAAAAATGAAAGCTGCCGGTAGAAAAAGTGGCTTGGAGCACGAAGTCAAGGGAGTGGAGACTGAAGCGGAAGAGGAAGCAGAGGAAGAAGCGGTTGACGGGGGGGAGAGTAAGGAGGACGCTCATATAAATGAATTAATTGATCGGACGAAATTCTCCGAGAGGTTTAAATCGTGGAAGGGCTTGGAGGATGATGAATTCAAATCCCTTGGAGAAGTTATCAGCATTATGGAGAGAGATCAGCAAAATCGGTAATATATCGATCTTATATATGATATGAATAGGGTGAGCTTGAATTGCGGAAATAATTTCAGTTTATCCAAGTTACATCGAGTAGTTGGCTCGCCACCAGAGAAAACTCAAGAAGTTCTAATTCACACGTCAACCGGTTTATATAGATTCGAAGGTATATCTCGGCAATTTACAAAAAAATTGTACGAGTGGGAAAAGAGCCAGGGGATTGCCCCAGAATGTTCGACATTCAGGCTTCTTGATCCTCTACGATATGGTATATGTTCAAGACCTAGGTTGATATCCACAAGCATTGCCAGTGAGTGATTCTTTATTCTTTATCACTATTACTCAATATTTACATTTTATTATCATATCATAGTGATGATATCATTTCATTCAATATATTTTTCAATATATTTTTACATCGATATATATTTTTTAAGGTGAGGGAAAACCATTGACAGGTTTAAAGCGATCAAAATCAGTGGGTAGTGTTCACATGGAGGGCTTTTGCACTCGAGAAGAGAGATCTATCCTCACCAGACTATCCTCCAGTCTATCCTTGAATGATATTGGCAGGTTGGACACGAGAAGCTGCATCATAGGCTCTGTACCCACAATTCCCGATGATGAGGACACCTCAGAAGATATAGTCATTGAAGACTCTGAGCAGGATCCTGAAGCCGAAGTCGAACCAGAAGCCATGATCGTCGATATCGAAGATGTGGTTGAGGAAACAGCAAGTCCAATGGCCAAGTATCAACCCCATCAAACTCCTGTGTATAGCGTAGCTGGAAGTGAAACAACAAGCATAGCAATCCCCTTGGGGACAGTGACATCGAGCCATCAGTCCTCGCCGGCCATTCTTATCCAACCTCATGAAATACACCCTATTAGTGTTACCCAGGCATGCATCATTGATCAACATATCCATGAGAATGATCATGATGAACTAATTAGAATATCGCAAGGGACTCGTAATGTCGCAGCTAGAGCAACTATTAGTAAGAAATTCTACAAACAAGCTATACATTAAACATTATTGAATCCAGTTGAATCGAAGGAAAAATCCAAGTTTTTCCTTTCAGAACAAGATTGTGAGGAGGTGAATGAGATTGTCGACGGATGGTTCAATGAATTGCACTCGAGCGATTCTCTCACATCTATCAATGGCTGCCAGATGGCAGCACACAGTAAGGGTAACTTTCATTTTATTTATTTTTTTTATTATTATAAGATTTTAAAAAATTGTAGAAAAATGAGAATTTTATGAAAAAAATTCGATTGATGCGAATGAGAAATTTCGATGATAAAGTAGTGATCTTGTCCTAGAAAGCTCCATGGAGACAGGCACGGTACTGCCGCGGAATTATAATTATAATAAAACCGAGGAAGATGGGGATGCCGTAACGGAAGTGGTAATTACTGTAGCCAGTAACTCAAGACACTCGAGAAAGTACCTGAAGACCAGGCGCCTAACCGATACTCAGGTTGGATACGGGCTACATCATATTATCTCGTCCGATGAACCTGAGTTAACTAACACACAATCAACAACACAACGAATTAATGATTTTCTTCAAGGATCTGATCGTGAAAAAATTATTATCAATGAAAATACATTAAATAAAATAGTTGTACCAACGAGCTCTGGTACAATTTCAATGGGAGATGAAGTATCGGTAAAGTTGAAATTAAAAAAGGAGCAAAACAGTCCACCGGAGCAAAGTGGTACGAAAGATAAGAGAAATCCGGCGAGTATGTTTGTGAAAACCAAGAGAATAGTCTTTTCACCATTTAGAAGAGATAGTAGACCAACAGCATCAAAATCCTCATCGCCATCAGCAACACCTGAATCCTTCTCATTTCCACTAGATATTGCTATTCCAGTTGCACTGGAATCTCTTGCACTCACTTCACAGACTAAAAAAATAGATGTCCCCCAATCGCCAATTCCCCCTAGGAAAGAATATAGCCTGAGCCAAGCTTCAACTAAGGAGACAGCACCCAGTATCAGAATGATGATAAAAAAGTATAATGCAAAAGTAGAAGCATCGGGAGGTATGGGATCAGCGACGAGTAGCGGAAGTGGCTCGCCAATCTGGCGATCTCCCGTCAGTGAGCGGAGAATAGCGACCCGAATGGAAAAATATGAGGAGGAAGTGAGGAAGGCCGTTGCAGGACCCATCTATCCACCTACCAATATTGCCAGTATTTCCAAAAGTTCAACCATTGACTTTACTAAAAATCCAAAGGCAGATGAATCCATTAATTCTCTCAATTTAGTTATTCGGAGTGAAACTGCTCCGCAAATACCTCACAGCGGAATCCGAGAGTTTAAAAACCCGGAAAAAGATTCATCATCAGCATCTTTGAGAGCTATCATGATTCAAAAGGCTAAAGAGGAGTTTTTGTCTAGAGATACGGGCAAAAATCAAGAGACAAGATCTTCCACTATTTACAATGTTAATGAAAATAAAAAAACAGGGAATTTTAACGAAACGGCAAAACGCTCGAAAGTCGTTGCCCGGGCTGAACTCGTTAAGTCAGCAAGTGTTGGAATGATTAATATTGTCCCAGATGCATTTGAAAGACTTCATGCATCTGATCCATTTACTTCGAGTAGAAAATGTGACTCTTTACCAAGATCCTCCGATCAACTTGCTCAACAGATTGAAACATGCCCTAAAGAGTCTCGTTTCCATCAGTTAGCCAATAAGTTCAGGCGAGCTAAATTGAGACGATCGAAAGATAAAGAGTTAGTGAGTATGAGTACAGTGTCAATGCTCTGTAGACAAAGTTTATTTGTTGATATTTCTAATGTAGGTACATCTAAAAGTTGCCCTACCACACCATCCCCTCAATACGATCATCACCTTGACACCGTGTGACAACTAATACTGTACCAATGACTAAATAATTCATCACTAACAATATAAATACTATATAAATACGTAATTTAAACAAACGTTTGTATATTTATAGAATTCATTGATGTGAGAATAAATGTATGTTTTAACTCAAACGGGGTTAATTGGTTGTTTTTCTTACTTGATTGGTCTCTTTAAAATCATTTGGGTGGATTTAAAAATGAGAGACACAAATATGAGAGTGAACAATTGAAGAATCGGTGGCGGGCATGCATTAAATTGTGGACGAGTGCGGCTTGAAGTGTTTGGGGTTGGTGTATTGCTAAATGGAATTAATACGGAGGGGAAGGTTTTTTTTTTTTTTTTTTTTTTTTTGAGTTGTGTGTGTCCCTTGGGTTTCTTTAAACGCGTGCCAGGGGGAATTTTAAATTGTCTATTCTCTCGAGAGATCCATGGGAATCGGCTAAAAGTGAAATGGAAATTATGCGGGTTCAAAAAATATGTAAACGTCACCTTGGATGAAATTAGAATTTCATGAGTTATAATAATCTGGGGCGAATTAACAAAAGGTTCACGGATAATCCTTTCATTATGATTTCATTTTTTTTTTTCTTCTTTTTTTCGACAATGGTCAACTGTGGTATCTGGTAGTGGTAGAGGGCGAAGAAGAGCCTGAGGGGATCAGTAGGGCGTCTCTACGATTTTTATATTCTTCTATTTTTTATACCTGGGTCTGGCTATAATATGGAGCGGAATGGGTTTGTCTCAAACCTGACCGCACGCAGGTCGTCCATATAATCCAGTAGCATTTGCAACAGCTCACGCATACGTCGGTGGTATAAGGTAGACTATTAACTTCTATAGGGATTTTGGGTTGCACTATTATGTGTATATGTTTTAAAAAAGGTTGATACTCTGATGTTGCAAGCACGGAAGTACGGAAGGCCTCTCTTCCGAGTGGTTTTTATGAAAAGGAAAGAGGGGGGAAAGGCATCAATGGACTTCCCGTCAGACCACCCCGAGTGAATCCCTTCAGTTTTTCCTATACTACGTGACATTTACGATAGTCAGACAATATATGTTACGTAAATGCCAAAATTTATGGTGTTTTCAAGATGTAAATCTTGTGCAATTTTAATAATTTCAATCAATGATGTAAAAAAGTTGTTTTTGTAGGGGAAATTTGATGGATCACGTACGCTACGGTATATACCACTCTATAGTGGTGCTAATGATGGGTTTCCACAGGAGAATTATTAGTGGCGGATAATTGCAACGATTCCCATTGTAGTTTCGATTTTTAGGATTCCAATGGAACTAAGTGTGAAAAGAATGCCTCACTATCCAATGGCTATCTAATTAAGTCAGCAGTTAGTTATCGAGAGATACGAAGATACCTAAGGAACGTAAATATCCACCGGCTAGTAATTAATTTGTGTTGTCCTGATCTCCACAGTCCTAAGACAACAAAGAAGAAAAAAATAACGAATTGAGTAAAAATGGTGGGCAATAAGTCGAGCTATAGGGAACAAAGCGTTGCCGCGCCCAAGCGGCTACCGTTTCTCTTGTTCTTGTCTTGATCAAACGATTGCTTTATTTAAAAATACATTAAACTCTCTCTGCTACATTTGAAAATGAAAAAAAAAAAAAACAAAAAAAGAAAAGCAAAGACAGAAAAGCAAAGACAGAGTTTCGCAGGGTTTGGGATGCGCGTGTGCCCTTTGGATATTGGGGCATGAGAATAATGTAATCTCGATTCGACGATCAAGCACGATAAATATAATCAGTCGTTGACAATTTGTCCTGTGGACCAAAGTGCACCTGTACGCTATTTTGAAAAAAGTTATGGAGTCCATTTGGTGATGCACAGTTAAGATTTTTATCGGTGATCTTGGTGGAATCTAGACAATTTGTGCTATAGACCCAGTGAGCCGTAAAAATTGAATTTAATGTCATTAAATCGTAGAGTTTTCAAGGATTTCGGCATCGCGAAGAATTCGTTTCGTAAAGGAGCGTAGGGCAATGGAGGAGAGTGTTAAATTTTCCGCCAAATCGTAAGATTTAATTAATGTATTTATTTTATACATCAAAATGTATATGTATATGTAAGAGATAAGGACCACTGAGCCTTTTATGGATAAAAAATATCCATTGGTTTGTTATTAGTTTAAAATGGGGTATTGAAAAACAATGACCTGTTGCAGAAGCGAAAACCGATTTCATCAACCTGCATTTTAAAATTTTTTCATAATTCATATATGCGCTCATACTTTTCCACATTTGAAAAAGTTCATTGTATGCAAACTTCCGGCTTTGGGTAACTCGTTGGGTTGCCGTTTATATAGTGAAAGAGATACTTTGAAAGGCAATGCAGGAGGCGCTCGTAAATTCAAGGGGTATGACAGAACTTGTCTCCTGACGATCAAGACGAACAAGAGATCGCAAAGACAGTGAATTACAAAAAGGCAATAGATGAAAATATATATATATAGAATTCAGGGTGTACCCGTATACCCATAGCCATACGTAATCGGTGGATGCAGCTTCGGGGGCCGCCATCCACTGTTTTTCACAGTATGAACTGATGCTAGCAGTGAAAATTACGTACCGGAGTTAATTTACGGTCTGTGCGTTCTCGGCGACGTAAATCTTTACCACGGGTAGGCGCTTTAAAACCATAATAGCGTCTTCATGATTATCTCTTGGACGCACCATTACCCCTTCAAGTTGCACTCCCGGTGTGATCCTGTCTCTACGTTCGTTAGGCATTTCAAATTGTCTAGAAATATATCTTCGAGTGTCATAGAAAACTATTTCACCATTTCACAGAAAAAAAAAATACAATGTCGTCTTTTGCTCACATTTTTTCCATTTCAATAGAATAAATATATGTGAATGCATTGAATGAATCGATGGTGGAGCAATAAATATAATATATAATAATAGAAAAGTTAAATCAACTTATCGTGACATGAATTTTTTCTTTTGACCTCTTGAACTAGGGGAAGAAGAGAAAAGTAAAAAATCGTTGTGAAATTCTCAAATGTTGAGGAAGTGATAGAAAAGCCTAACCGTTTGTCTGTATCCCTGTCGGGGGTGATGGGGGTAAAAATGAGTTAATCGTAGTTTAATACCCCGTTGTGCACATGAGTGTAGAACACACACGTAGTGCCAGAGGTGGCAGTGAGAAAATGAATTAGTGAGTGGTGTGGTTGGTTGCGTCGACGGGGGTTGTTGTTGGTTCATTGCATCATTACTGAGTTTCACCTCATGTGGTTTCAGCCCCTTTCAATACATCTCAAGGGATCTCTTCTAGCTTCCCGCTCGTATAAAATACTCAAAAGCCATCCCAGCAGGAACCTAATATCATCGGTCCACCTCATTTCCAAGGCGTTGGAGTGTATGGAATTCCAATGATCCACTTTTTTTTCACAAACATGTAGTAAGGGTGCAAGATTTTTCATCTCTCTTGTAGGGGAGATGAAAAAATAAAATAGTCAATGTGTGATAATTTTAATAAAAATAGAAAAAAAAAAAAATGTTGCACTAAGTGTTGGCAGTTGGCATCGGCATTGAACCAGCAGAAGGTGTACATCACTTACAAATGATGTACACCGGTAAAAGCAGTCTCCTGTGGGTCTCTCAGGTGGGCTTTAAACGCTCCTTCATACGGAGGTTATATGGCCACTTGGATGGATGCGCTACGATGAGCCGGTCTCTTACTTCTCCGTTGTGAATTTCGCGCATTAAACCAAGTCGCGCGCATAGATAGATCCTGAGCTCTTCAAAATCGTTTTGAGTTTAACAACAAGCCATTGCCGCTGTGAGCTCGTAACTCTACGGATAATGAGTCTCTTCGCCTCTTTTTTTCCTTCATTTTTTTCCTCTGTCTGGGTTGCAACTTGCCGATGAACAAGAGGGAGCTTGTTAGGTGGTCCTCTCGCCTGCAAAACTGTCATCTTTCACCAATATCACTTCAATGGCAATCTACTTTTATTCCACTTTTTCTATCTTTATTATCTTTTCAATGACATTCCTATGTTCTTCCGAAATATGTTTTTTTTTTTTTTTTTTTTCATCAACCAAATTGCATATAAAAAGTTGCTTCAACACTGGGGCCCTATTGATATAGATAGAGCCCCTAAAATAATGGAGAAGGGGAAATAGGCCATCTCGAATTGCGATGAAACCAAGCACCAGGACGAAGCGTTCCATGTGCTCGGGCTGCTTCTCGAATAACCATGTGGGACCACCGCTGACGATATCCAACATTTTCCTTGCACAATCTCCATTGACAAATAAATAATAACAAAACCATTTTCATCAATAAAAATTTATTATGTATATTTTACTATTATTACTGTTCCGCCCATTCACAGATGAGAAACATCTCCTACATCTCAGTCTCAAGTACAATTATGCACCGTTGTAACACTACGTAAATATTTTACAAAGATAATTTTCCAATATATATATACATGAATGAATTGAGAAAGAATTGGTCGAAAAAATATGTCATCGTTTTTTAATGGAAGCTTACTTATTATCTACTTTAATTTTTTTTTTACATATAACATACAAAATTTACAAAATTTTACAGAGGGGTACTTATCACTTATCATCTAATCAGCATGTTATTGAGAATATAATTTTCCTCAATATAGTCATCATGTTAATCTAACATTTGAATGCCAATGTTTTGTTGCTCTCTGCAGGCTTCGAAAACCGTCGATAAATAATATTTTCTCACTGGCCAAAGTCAGTCTCTTTAATAAACATAACAGTCTATACACATTTGACTCACAATCATTAATTATATACATACAAGTTAAATACAAAACGTGGAAAAAGGAGAAAAATGGGGGAAGGGTGAGGGAATATCACTGGAGTAAGTCGTAGAGGGCTGTGATATAAGATTGTGCCATTTGGAGAGTCTCATACTTGGAGAGTTGCCTGTCATTGCCAAGAGAAGGTAAATAAGCCCGGAGTCTGTCGAAAGCTTTGTTAAGATTCTGCATCCGTCTGCGTTCCCGAGCATTGGCCGCTAGTCTCCGCTTCCTGACAACAGTCGAACTTACATATTTACCGCGTCTCCTCGACGACTCGTCAACTTCACTGGCTCCATCACTCTCCAAGTCCATCTCCATTCTCTCTTCGAAAGAACTCGAGGTGCTGACAACACTCCGCCTCGAGGAAAGTTTCTCCTCGCTATGATTGTCCTCTTCATCATCATCAACTCCAGTCACTTGCACATGCACCTGAAGAACATTTCTCCTCGTATCTTGCCCCGAATCACGACGATCTCTTCGTCGTTTCACTTCCGGTTGGATTGCCTCTTTCTGATGCGAAGCAGATCGTTCCAAGTCCGACGAGCCGGATAATGTTGTGGAGGGTGATACTGAACGGAGACTTGCTGGAGGACTTGGAGTATTCCAGCCATCGCTATTGTTGTCGTACATAATGTGAGGTTGAACTGTCAGGACAGAAGAAACTGGAGGCAGCAGGACACTTTTATCTTTGAGATAGGTGTCGGCGTATGGCAGCTCCACATAAGTTGGTGTAATGTGGTGTGCTTCGTTATGATCTTCCTGGGGCGGGAACATGTAACCGTAACGGAACATCTCTTGAAACTCCATTTTTCCGTGTATTGGCGCACTTGATCCTTTTAAACTTCACTAACACTAGTGTCCGTAGCGCACAAGATTTCAATTTAATATTGTCCGGCTGTAGTTTTTCCCTCTTTTTTTCTTTCTTTTTTTTTTGCGTTGGATTGAGATTATTTGATATTAAAGATTTGGCTTAGTGGTTTTCAAAGGGATGAAATGGTTGCTCGAAGTTCGAGGTAATTCTGAGGTGGGAAGAGCACAGGCCGAGGGATTTATGCTCTCGGGGAGCGAGGCACCCTCGAGCAGCACGTGCCGAACTACCAATGAGATTTCAGAGTTATTCCCCCACTAGTTTTGGTGGCGGGTCGTTGGGGCCGCCCAAGTGAGGATCTGCAACAGGTGGCAGAGAGCACGGCGCCTGTACAGTGTACAAGTACTCTATAATATGTCATATACTCATACCTTCATTTGTATGGATTATTATTATTTATGCTTATTTTTTTCAAACAAATCGCAAAGTCCATGTAATGTACAGTACTATCATTCTCCATTTTTTTTTTTTTTGCAACTATGAAATTAAGGTCTTGTATTGTTGGATTTCTCTAACTGCCATTGTTAATTCTCAAGGGGATAATTGACATTATGTGTTGTGGACAGGACAAGCGGCAAACTCTCCCTTATTGCTATTTCTCCTGGTCATTCCGTTTTTCCTTTGCCTTCCTATCCCTGTATTATTTTTTCCCTTCATTCTTGCTAGTTCTTCTCTCATTATCGCCATTGTTCGACACGTCGAGTCATCCCGAGGCGGCCACCAAAATCAGTAGCCTGTCCCGTCTTTGGACCAGCAGCCATCCTATGTTTCTATTTTTCAGCATTCTTTTTTTTTTCGTCATGTCGATACACGTATCCTTCGGGCCTAATGATTCTGGGAAATTTCTAAGTGATTCAGCGAGATTGTACGCACGTGCAGCAGCAATGTGGGTCAATTGCAAAAAAATATCATGATCACGGAAAAAAAAAATCTCGTGAAATTTTTATATATACATATTATATACCATAGTAGGGGATATTTTAAAAGATGAATGGCATTTTAAATTTTTCAAGAGGAAAATGAGATTGCCCCGAGAAAAGAAAGATACTATCACTTAATATATTGTTCTTTGTCAAAAAGAAGAAAAAGAAAAAAAGGGTGCAAATACCTGAGGGGCGTAAGGTCCAGTTACATCTTTCCTCGCTCAATTAGCGAAAACAGGTAGGATAAAGTTTTGCGGTGAAGCGCTAAGGTGGTCTTCACCCCAAAAATTTGGCAACCCGATCTCTGCCCAATTTTTCCATCTTACTCTTCCAAGCTTCCATCTCTGTCATTTTGGAGCGCATGTTAGCATCTTGTATTTCATGATCAAAGGCTCGCCAACGCTGAGAAATGTCCTCTCTCTTTTTCAAAGTAGCAGTCTCCAGTAATAATCCGGCGTGCACTTAAAGTCCCTTAACCCACCGCCAAGGGATGCCAAACTCTTTATTTTATCTCTCGTTCAATTTTCTCCTTGCTTTTATTTTTCACCAAATTACTAATAATGTAATAGTAATACTATGGCGGGGATGACCCTTTAGTTCCACAACTCACATGACCAATTCATATGACTAGTATATGGGGATAGACTTTCTTACAAATTGATAAGATCCAAAATGAATTTCACGCCTCAGAGAGGGGATAAAAATCCAATGGGAGAAAAACTAAAAGTCGAACGAAAAAAAAAAAAAAAACTTAAAAAAATGGGAAAATTTTGATTTAATGCCTCGCTTGGTTTAGGTTGAGCCCGGGGGTATGAATCAATCCCCTTTCAAAATAGTTCCAACCCACTTTCGATTTCAATGGACCAACAGCCCAACTCATGTTGTCCAACATCCCAACTAAAATGATAATAACGAATTACTTTCATCTATCAAGATCTTGTTCGGGTTAGGGTGAAACCTAGTAATTAGGCCAGTCAATTTTTATCCAAATGCTTTGTATAGGGGTTTTCAAAAGCACATAAAGAATATATAAGGTATAAGGAAACGTTGGAGTGACGAATCTTTGCGAACGAGGGGGAAAAAAGACAAATGAAACGAAGAGTGATCTGTTCTGTGTTCTTCGAGGGCGGTCGAGCTCTCTAGACCTTCGGGTGGGCGTGAGGCGAGTAATTAAATACAAAGTGAAGTCATTTAGTCAAGCTCGGTGGCAAATAACACGTTTTTTCTTCTTATTCTCAAAATGAGAAAAAAATTTTTGTGGCCAACTAGAAGATAATTTATGAGTTTGGGGGTGGCAGCTAGACCACCTACCCCTGAACTCTGACGGTATTTATTGAGATAATCGATGATTAATGGTCAATCAATCCAACGGTGGGTTTCCTTTGTTTTTCGTTTTTTTTTTGGATTTTGGGTCACTTTTACGCCATTATGCAATCATTGGTCGGGTTTTTGGGTAGCCGGGTTTTTTTTTTGTTTTTTAATTTACTAAATGGAGATGTCGATGCGGAATTGATTGTTTTAGAGTTCAGGTACTCGATAAATTGTTGGGATTTTTCGCGAATTGGTGAAAAATCAAAATCATGAGAATTGAATTTGTCGGATGAATGAATGTTGTTTGATGGGTTAAATCATGATTAAAGATGGTCGATGATCCATCAAGTGATTGTATAGTGGCGGCCCCGGGATACTTTTTAAAGCACGAAATCATGTTGAAAATGTAAATTAAAAAAATAAATAAAAAATAAAAAAAAGAGCGAAATCACGAGAGGCTCCGATGAATTTTCTAAGAACACCATCATCGAATTATCCAGTCTCGCTACCACATTGAGGACTATTTAGGGTTCAGTAGGAAAGGGAAATAGTCAAGGTTGTCGGGACTTTTTCTATTTTACGCCGTAAAAGCAAATTATGTGAAGGACATTCTCTATTTTTATTGGGTGAATGGGAAAAGAGCTAACAACTAATTTTCCATTTTTACTATTATAATTCAGGAAATTATAACAAATTGAATGGGGTATAGAGGATTGGAAAGGTCTATCCTCCCCAAGGAACAAAACCAAAAAAATTAAAAAACACCGGAAACCGATGGATGAATAAAAAATAACGCAAAAAACCACTGTTTAAGATTCAATAGCAAAATTGAATAACAATGTTACGAAATGATATGCTAAATTTAATGACGAAACCGTCCTGTGTGGTCCATGTTATATATGTTATGGGTCATCATTTTTGAAGAGAGGTAATAGATTTAACTGATCCCTTACTTAACTTTCCAATATTGAAATTACTGTTTGCATGGTGGAAAAAAAAATGGGGCAATAAACTGATAGCTCCGCACGTCAGAAAATACTGGACTTTAGAAAATTTCTGCATTTATTTCAACGTGATACTATAGCTATACTAGTCGAGTTTATGTGCGAGGATAAAGAAAAGACAATTTGAAAATTGGCTTCTAATCGTGAATTCTTCAAGAATGCTTCCATTATCATTATCCCGAGGGCGGCGGCAGCGGCGATGGCCGTCACGACCTCGGGATAATCAAGGCCAGTTTTTCCAAACTCAAATTTACCCAAGGAGGAAACCAAAGCAATTATATATGAACCGATCCACTATCTAAATTTGTGTAGTGAAATTCTTCTCCATTCAAAAGACAGGAGGAGCAAGAGAGAAATGAATAATGCGTGTCAAACAACCAAGTCATTTTGAATTCAGTATGCTGAGGTTTCGTGATACTTAATTTCCATATAATAGATCTTCCACTGATCTATCTCCTCTGATTCAGGAGCCCTTCCGACAGCTATCAATGATTCACTGATCTCCATCGCAAAATATCGCCTCAAGGATCGACACGCTATTAATTAATAATACAAAAAAATTGCAGGACAAGTCTGGGTTTCATTGTCTAGCAAATTTTCTCTTCTATGCCTGATTTTTCTCATTTTATTATTTACTCTGGTAATATATCCTTCAGGCCTATATCCTTGTTTTTAATAATATTCAACTAAATGAAAGTTTATATAATTCTCCCCTTTATTTGATAATCTATCGTGTACTTTCAGTTATGATCAAGGAAAAACAATAATCGATGGTACATATTAAGAAGGGGAAGAGGATTTGTAATCTTGGGGGAAGGTAAAAGTACAGAAAAGAAGGAAGGGAGCACGCGCCAGCCACACGCCCTGAGACTTTTACGCGTATACACCTGGGACAGTTGGCAAGCGAGGAATATATGTTGAGAATAACCAAAAATAATTACTCCTTTCTCTCTCTCTCTCGCTCTCTCGTTATCTTCTATTTCAGTAGAAAAATTCAACGTTTTCTTGTTAATTTGATTGGATAGAGTTGCGTTGAGTTGCGTCACTTCCTATATCAGCAGCCTTGGAATAACAAATAAAATAAAAATAATGCAAGTGTGCCCTATGAATTATTATTGGTGAATGGCCAAGCAAATGGAAAAGCAATAAGATGAAGCACGTGCCAAGACCTTCCTATACCTTGAAACCAGTAACCATGCAACCCTAAGGATGTCCCAAGTGCATTTCAACCCATCTGATTTTTTTCTCTTCCCTTTTTTTGACAGTAGTTTGGCAGTAGATTAAAGCCACAGTCAGTCCTGCTCACCGTATGCTACCCATATGGCTCAAACACTTGGTTTGAAAAACAGTGGAATGAAGAAAAGAAGGCCTCTGAGAAAGAACTCCTATCCCTGTTCTTCAACACTTGAACTTCACCTGAAATTCGAGGGACTTGGCCAATTTTTATTGGAAAATTGCCAATGAATAATTTTAAACAGCAAAGTAAATGGGAGAAATTTTTAAAGAAATATCTCTACACATTATTATTTGTATAGATATTTGTGGGAACAAGTTAAAATGAAAAGAAAAAAATATTTCGTCGGAAGGGAGTTAAAATTGAGACCCACCGTGTGATTTATAGCACAAGCAACCAATTACGACACGATTCGAATCACAGTGAGGATAAAAGCCCTCTCTTACAATCCACCAAAAGCCCCAACT